GAAAATATTTACTATTAAGTTCATTAATAATATTTCTTCACAATTAGGTCTCTAACTCACTTTAATGCTCTAGAAATTTTGGGGTATTACAATAATAATTAACTCTTTCCACTCTATTAAATCTATGATATTGTATGCACCTATAAATTTATTTATTTTTTTAACTATCACCTACTCATTTTGATGAAATGTCAAAAATTACATATAAAAATTAGGAAAAGGTACATATCGGTCCTGACTTCCAAAAATAATTAGAGTCTAAATCTTGAATTACGTCAGTTTATTTAATTAAAACTCAATTCAAAATGTAAAAAATTATTATATTAAAGGTTGATATGTTAAATTATATAATGAGTTTCTAAATTTAGATATCAACATTTAATAAAATAAGATTTTAATTTTCAAATGTAAGTTTGGATTCCAATTGTTTTTGGGAGTCGGATTGATACATACTAATTTCTAAAAATTGTACAAGAAAATTATCCAAGTATCTTTACATAACAATAAAAAAACCTATATGTATAACTCCACTTTTCAAGGATTGTCAAATTGTTATTGGTAATAAATACAAATGATATAGTATAATGACTGTATGAAATATCTTCTCCTCATTCATAACTCCTAGACATGAATGTAATTTAAATGCTACATATCTATTTTAGTTTAAACTTTCTATACCTTAAAAAGAAAAATAAGGTAAAAGATACGAATTTTTACCTATATTACTTATACAAAATTTGAATCATTTATAAAATAAAACAATAATAAATCTCAACTTTTCATGGTGGAGAGATTGATAGTTAAGATTTTGTATAAATGATGTATGTAAGAGTTTTGTGTAAGTAGATTCCAACTCAAGAAATAATAGAAGATTTCCTTAATTTGTGTAAATGCTCAGCTTTTTTAACTTAACTATAATCTATGATATTGTATGCATTTACATATTTATTTAATTTCTTTTAACTACCATTTTCTTATTAAATGATACATGTCAAAAATACATATAAAAATTATATAAAAAGAATGTCCTCATATCATTACACAATAAAAATAGCTATAGGTACAACTCTACTTTTGAGGGCTTATCAAATTGTTGCTTGCCGTAAATACAAATGATATGGGACAACATTTGTGTGAAATCCTTCTCCTCATTTATAATCCCTAGACATGAATGTATGATTTTATTAACCTACATAGCTATTTTGCACTCAACTTTCTATATTTTCCAAAGAAAAAAAAAAAACTAAAAGATAAGAATTCTTATGCAGATCACTTATATAAAATATTGACTATTTATAAAATAAAATGTGGATAAACCTTAACCATTCCTAGTGGAGAGATGGATAGTCAAGATTTGATGTAAATTATGTGTAAAAGATATGTATAAATGGATTTTGATTCAAGAAATTATAGAAGATTTCCTTAATTAATTTGTGTAAATGGTTAGCTTTATAAATGTCACACCCCAAAATCAAGAGTGAAATAGGCACCGTATACCTTTGAATGGGTCCCACAAGTGTACAAAACTTAGAACCTATTTAATATATCATGCAACAAACCATATCTTCTAATAGTCCTCTACAATCCATTATAAAGAAAATAAAACAACTTATATAATCTAAAAATATATAATGAAATCTAACCAAGTTAAATTATGCATAAAACCAACATCTAGTCTCAACCCTTTAATAAGCGAACTAGCGAACTAGCACGTCACTTGCCTTGATTCCAAAGTCTCAAGTCTTGTTACTTGAAATGGTGAACAAAAAAAAAAAAAAAATTGATGTGAGATAACTCAGTAAGTAAATTATGGGCAGCCTCAAAAGCATGCAGGATACAGAATACCAAAGTAGTACTTTTAGTCTCAATTTAGTAATGCATAATAAAATCTTTTAGTGGTCTCCTTAATTACTCATAACTAGCGTCTACACTTTACTAGCAAGATAACAGGAATAAACAGTGTTTACACTCCCATTGGCAAGATAATAGGAATTGCCAATGTTTACACTTCCATTGGCAGGATAACAAGAATCACAGCAAAATTAGAGACAAAACAATTCGAGCATTTAAATAGGAAACATAATTCAAATTGTTTCAATAGGTATATCTCATGAAAAAGGCATGCTCAAGCTTCAATAAATAACAATTATAAAACTTAATATTAAAGCATGCCATGCTCATATCAACATAAATCAAGTCAGTCCTGTCATTGCATCAAAACAATTCAAAAATATACTTTTAAAGCGTTAGTTTAGAACCATTGGCAAGGCAAAAAATTTACTTACCTCACTTTACAAAAAATTAAGATTCCTTAAAAACTAAGGATTAGGATATCATAGATATTTAAGAAGCAAAGAATAAAGACAAAAAAATTTGGCCAAGGACAGCAAAATTAGACACTAGATTAGCAAGAGCTTGAGGGCAAGTTCTGGTCGGATCTTGAAATGGAACTTTAACTAATATTGCACATAGAAATTGACCAAATTGGGCTGAATGCCTAATAAATCAACTGTAGCCCTATGTTTTAGCCTTCTACAAGATCAAGAATCACCTTAATCTGAAATCTATAAACGAAATTATGATCATAATACTAATGCAGGGTTAGGCTGTCAATTCAGAATTTCAACAGCTTAATCATGGTCCAAAACATGTTAAAAAAAAAAAAATAGTTCAAGAGGGGGAAATGTTGATTTCCTTTTGACAAAGCACATTCTCAGGTACAGAAGCATGTTGAAATTGAGGTGCTGTGTGGGTTGTTTTGAAATAGCAATCAACAACTATGAATGGCAAAAATCTAGATATTTTGAAGTAGAAAATAATAGTCAATTGAATTTAAAATTCTAGGCTAATCTTAGCTAAATTTAGCTTCATTAAGTATAGGAAATAAATCGAAAAAAAGGGTGTATTATTGTTGCTTAAAAACCAGGCTATCCAACAACATTTTGGTGGCAAAAGTGCACACTTCAAGGCCTAATCTAACTAAAACTTAGCATAACAAGGGTTGAAAATAGTGCGGAATTTTTTGAACATAATTGAGCCAAGCCATTTACAAGGGAGTTCTAGAGCAGAAAATAAAGACTTCTGAACAGGATTTTCTAAGTAAGACAACAGAAAAATAGCAACTAAATAAATTATAAATCAAGCTCAGAATAGTTGTTACTTATCGAATTTCCTAACAAGGGACATTAGGTTTGGCAATTATGGAATAGATAGAATCAGAGGAAAAACTATGGAAAACTATCCCAAAATCAAAGATAACAAAAGATAGAGTTAACCCAACTAAATCAAGAATGAAAAGATGAACTATGGCTATTTTCTTACAAAAAAAGTTGTAGAAAGAACATCCATTGAGCAAATAATCACGGACCAGAAATGAAAAATAGGCAATAACAATCTTTGATATTTTCTAATAAAATATCAGTTTGTAAGTGAAAATTCTAGGTTCAAAATTCATTCTCAAGAGAGACAAGATAAGGAAAAATCAAGTCTTTATCTTGATTAGAAGAAGAAGAAAAAGAAGAAGAAGAAGAAGCATCATAGGGAGACTAGGAGCTTATTGACTCCAAGGGCTTTGGCATTTGAATCAAAAAGTAGAGGAAACTTGTTAAGGGATGAATTTGTATGGTTGGAAAAACAATGATGTGTGCGAATCCACATCAGCAAGGGCCCACGACATTCATTTCCCACATTGGACATGCAGTTCCTATTTTCTACTAATTGCTGCAATGGAATCAACATCGCTAGAAATGACACTCATGCACTTTGTTAGAGACATTGCAGAATATAACCTACTCCAACATCTATTTTCACATACATGGCCAGACGTAGCCAAATCTATTTCGGTGATATGGCTGGGCATTTCTTGATGGTCATGTCCTCTACAATGATATTTACAACTGTATCTTGTGGCTTCCACCAATGGATAAAGAGCCTATTTTACTACATGGCTCCTGTCAAAGGACAACAATCTCATCTGCATAGCTCCCTGCGATGGGCAACGAGCCAAGAATCTATCTCTACATATCTCTATCATTGGTTCCCATCAATGGACAACGGGGTAATCTTATTACACCTACACAGCTTTCAGCAATGGACAAAGGGCCCGATTTACTACCTTATCTAGCCTCCAGCAATGGCAACAGTTTACACATTTCCACACATCTTATTACACTGGCTCTCGACAATAGACAAAGGGTCGGATTTCTACCTATTCTATCTCATTGGCTCTTAGAGATGGACAAAGAGTCAGGGCAACTCGATATGATTAGTGTGAAGCTAGTAACAGTTGCAACCCTATGATCGGATGGGATGGCTACCCTCCAGCGACAAAAATCCATCAAGCAATGGCGTCGATCCCTTGGTGGTCGGCCATGCATGGTGGTGTAGTGCCCGATGAGCAACAACAACCAGGACCATCCTCTGACAATGTGAGTATGGCAAGAAAGGCCAATGTTTGTCAGTGGTATCACACCTTGTTGTATCGGAAGCCATGGATGCAGCTAGTGTCCCCCTTCCATGGACACAACTCCACCTTTCTTTATACATATTCATTGCTATAGCAGAGTCTATTTTAATGAGATTTATCCCTTTGTAGCTTGGCGATAGTGGGAGTGCTCTTTTGATTCCACGTAGTTCATGCTCCAACCATGGGCAAAGCTAGCCATGGTTGTCCCTTTGGCTATAGAGAAGCTATTCATGGCTGACCCTGCAATATGTACATAACATGACCGGAGGTCATGCACATTATCACTCTTTTACACAAAGGGACAAAATTGTCGATCGCCGACAATCTTGACTCATAACACATATTTTCTATGTCTTATGTGCTAACAGGTATTGTCAGCCAACAAAGCTTGACTCGGGACTACGATATTGCAGTACACACGCATATCACTTGTTCCTCATTCTAGTGCAATGCCAGCCATGTACAATAGCAATATACTGATGCCGGCCATGGCCAGCAAACAAATGAAAGCAACAAATATTCATCCACATAGTCTTCTTCAACATGCAAGTGAGTTTCCTTATTCATTGCATATGCTTATATATTTCTTATTCTTAAATATTTGAACATATATTCACATATGCCTTGCTGTTACTATAGATAAACATAAGCCCATGAATCCAAGCTCATGGAATTACTAGGGACAAACTAAGGGAGTAATGGCTTGGCAGGCATGGATTGGTGAACACTGCCCGTCTGGTAAAGCAAGGCACTTGCGCCAATGAAGCTTGGCGTTGGCGATGTTGCAGAATTTCGCTAGAAAGGGTTGGGTAGCAAAGACATGGGAGCAAACTTAACTCTTGGAACAATACCATTTAATGTTAACCAAGGGCTAGAAATCCCGTCAAAAACTAACCATAGATGCTGTCTTGGTCACCATCAGCAACTTACAACTATATTTAATGCAGAGGTGGTTGCACAAGTTCCATGGCCTTGGAAACTGCTGCAAAAGATTACCATTTGCTTGCAAAATCCTCCAAAATCTCGTGCAGAGCTTGGGGAACCTACCAAATCTTGTGCAGGTGTTGTTTTTGCTGGCTGCACTCAAGCGCCTCCCTAAGAATGGGATTTTGTATGGCTGGAGGCATTGCTAGTAATATACAATTTCTAGTTCTTCGCTAGAACTAGCGAAGCCTCGCCAGAACTAGCGAAGCCTTACTAGAACCATTAGGCAATTCATGATGCCACCGTCGTAAAGCTACCGATAGTGCCTAAAGCCATCGAAAATTCGATAGCTCATCCAAACCTTTTTGCACACCTTTAAGTCATCAACCAGAAATTACAACAATGCCACTGCATATACATATCTATTATCTGCCCTTCATTTTCCAAAAGATATAGATGCATGCAGACAAAAACGAGGGGACACACAACTTCAGCCTTTTCCTTCTCATGTACCAAAACTCTCATTTTTCCTCTAAAAAAAAAATTTCCATCTTTGACCTATTGCTCCACACGCGAAAACCACCCAAAAATCACCATTTTTCTCGGATTACCTGTTTTTTCAGCATTGCAAGACATTTTCTAGCACTGCAAAATATCACCCAGCAGCACAAAACATTTCTAGATTTGTAGGATATTATGGTTGGGGAACAACATGTTGCAATTTCAGCTTCCGCGTAATTCTTCTTGAGCATCAAACAATCAAGGTTGCAAGGTTAGCATAAAAAACGAGATGAAGTGCTTCATTCATAAGCTTCTAAACGGTTACCCTTCCTTCTCCTATCACCACTCTCAAGTTTATCCTTTTGTCTTTGGATGGATTTTAAGAGTAGAGTTGTTGCATTTTTCATTTTCAATATGGGGATTGTTCGTTATAGAGTAAAGATATACACTAAAGATGAAAGAGATCACATTTATTGTCATTATTATCATGTTATAATGATTTATGTATGAATGTGATTCTCAAGTTATAATCTTTGAACCACATGTATTTTTCCATATTTGCTGCCCTTCCTTAACAACATACAACTCCTCCCCATCATGTTTTTGATAGTTGTGTAATCATCTTGAACCCCTGGAACCTCACCATTGCTACCCAGCTCTACCAGCTTGGCTGGAATATTTATCTTTTTAAAAAAAGTTTCGTTGGAAAGTGCACTGCAAGATATCATCGCCCAACAGAATAGGATGGCCCGTAACATGTAGCCTTTCACACATGAGACGGGTGTCGCCAAAAAACCCCCCATCATTTTCTTGGGTGTCATCCTAGTCAACCTCCATATCATCACCATTATTGATTCATCCACCTACATCACCAACACCCCTAAACAAAATGGTGACTCGACTAGGGAAGTCATCCTAGAGCTTCATCATGTTTTGCTCTTCTTAAGCAATGTACTATCTCTAGCATTTTGCCTCAGAAGTATTTATTTATCTTCAGTAAAATTTTTCTGGCCATGCCTATCATAAGGGCAACCTTGTCTCGCATTGCTAATGGGAATTAAGGGCTTGGCCAAGATGATGGAAG